TGTAAAAAAGGTGGCTTTAAGTCACCTTTGTTCTTCTGCCTGTGAACCTGGGCATTCATCATCATCAACAACAACCATGGGCTCAATGCCCATTGGTGTCTGATGCCTCCCTCACTATTTCCTTCCATCTTTCCCTGACCAGTGCGAAATGGCTTAGTTTCTGTAGACTAGCTCCGCACCAATCTACTATATCATCTACCCGTAAAAAAGGTGGCTTTAAGTCACCTTTGTTCTTCTGCCTGTGAACCTGGGCATTCATCATCATCAACAACAACCATGGGCTCAATGCCCATTGGTGTCTGATGCCTCCCTCACTATTTCCTTCCATCTTTCCCTGACCAGTGCGAAATGGCTTAGTTTCTGTAGACTAGCTCCGCACCAATCTACTATATCATCTACCCATTCTGTGTGGGGTCTGCCTCTCCTATTCGGCCCATCCATTATGCCGAATACCAGGGTATTAACTTTTCGCTCGTCGTTCATTCTGCAGATATGCCCGAATAGCTGTAACTTCCATTGTATAACTTTTTGCAATAGGTTCTCTTTTGGCTGTATCTTCCTATGTAACTCCTCGTTGTGACCTTCTGCATCCATCCTATTCTCAGGATCTTTCTATAAAAACTCCTCTTGAACTCCAATATCCTTCTCTTTGAATCTTTCATTATCACCCATGTCTCACATCCGTACACATGCTGCTGAATACACACGTTTTCAAGACGCTCAGCTTCATTCCTAACCTAATCACTTTACTTTTCCAGATCTTATCCATCTCCTTTAAATTCACTCTTGCTTTCGCTATTCTAGTCGCTATTTCCTTCTTACAGTCTAGCTCATATGTCATGTTGCGCCCTAAATACATAAACTTCTCTGTTCTCTAATTTGATCCCATCTACACTGATCTTCCTTCCTATTTCCTTATTTCCAGATACCACTGGCTTCATTTTATCGATATTCATAATCAGTCCATACCACTTCCCTTGCTCATTTAGCACCTGCGCCATTCTCTCTAGCTTCTCTTCATCTTCCTTGATGATAACTATATCATCCACAAACCTCAAGTTGTTAATTCTTATCCCATGCACCCATATTCCTTCTACCTCTTCCCTGATCTTGTCCATCGCTCTTTCTAGGTGCATGATGAAGATACTTGGCGATAAGCCAATCATCCTGTAGTTCTTGTACTCCAACGTGCTTCCTGTCTTGTGTATTGTCACTAGCACAGATCTTGTCCATTCCTTAGATGCCTTCTCTTCTTTCCATGCTATATTATATAGTTGGTATATTTCCTGAATCATACTTTCTCTGCCATATTTGATCATCTCTCCCGTGATCTTACAATTTCCAGGGCTCTTATTGTTCTTTAGTTGTTTCATGGCTCTTTCTGTTTTCTCCTTCAAAATATCAGTCTCACTCTCGATGCTTGGCAGTAATATCTCTTTCAATTCTTTGATTGGTCTCTCTGAGGCACTCGTGTCTAACTGTGCTTTGTATAGATCGGTACAATATCTTGTCCATCACTGCACAACCTTCTCTTTGTTCATGAGCACCTTATCATTCTTGTCTTTGGTCACCATCTGCTTCGGCTGCCACTTCCTATTGGGCCCACAGTATTTTTTCTGCTTCCTGGTTGGATGCCTGAAACTTTTTACATTGAGAATAATGAATGACTTTTGGGATTAATTTTCAGATGAATAATCACTTTTGCTAAAATTTGTGAAATTAGTGATTTGTAAGCATTTTCACACTACTCGGCTATCATCCAGATGCTTGCAAATAATGAAATGCTATGATCTATTAAGACTCGTGAAGCAAAATTGACTTGTTAATTGCAAATATAGCAGTTACTTTAATTTTTTTTATTATTCAACCAGCTCTAATCCTAAAGCTTGACTGGCATGTCTTGTCCATCATCTAAAATAGCAGCAATCCACCATTACAATCTGGCATCATCAGTAGTTTTATTGGTTTTGCACTGGCTGATATCCATACCTCCCTTTTTCTGGCAATCCTGTAGAATTCTAAAGAATATAAACATTAATATAACTTTAATATCAATTATGTTGCTAATTCTTATAGCTTCAAAGACAATCTTCCAGGTAGGGATCCCAATATAGGACTATAGGCAGATAAAAATAAGAAGTCTGAATAACGCCATTCATTTCACATGGAATGATCATTGGAATTTCATCAGCATTAAACTATTTCACTGCTCATCATTTTACCTGAATCCCAGCAATTCTGGACTTGGGGTGAATTTGCTTCATTTGCCACCTCTTTATAAATCCAAGCTAATTTCCTGGATGTAATGACTAGAGTTGATCTAATCACTGATAATTAATAAGTGAGCCAATTATGCGTCTTCTTCAGCCTACAAAATATCTGTGATAAGTTTGAAAGTCTCTCTGATGTATTCATTGTACAAATATATTAAACAAATGTATTTTTGAACTTGTTTACTTTGATTATAAATATTAAAAAAGAATAGTTTTTTAGTTGTGATTGGGCAAATGACTCACACGATGCTATTCCAGCTCTTTGAATGGATGAGTATGAAAATATCATAGAATCATAGAACACTAGAACTGAAAGGGACCTGAAGAGGTCATTGAGTCCAGTCCCCTGCCCTCATGGCAGGACCCAGTACCATTAGACCATCCCTGATAGATGTCTATCTAACCTGTTCTTAATTGTTTAAGATTGGCATTAATATCTGTGTGTTCAAATTTCAAATGCTGTTTCCAGAGCACTCACACAGATGGCTTTGCTATTCATTTGCTGTGAGCATTTGTGCCAGTAAAATGTGTAGAATGGAAGGCATAAAGAAAAGGGCATGAGCACAGCTGAATTAATTTCATAATTGAAATGAATGTAGGTGGAACATGACTTGCCTTTGTTACTTGGCTCTTATAATGGTATTTTATTGGTGAATCATGATACAATGTCATCATGTCAGTGCTCTGTATATGATATGTCAAGATTTCACAGATACCCATGTTTAATTTAGGATCCATTCATGTCTGGTCTATTACATACTCTAAGGTACTTATCAGCCCTCCACTCCGAATTCTATATTATCTGAGCACCTCACAACATCAGTATTATATAGAGTGGTTATTTTACTCTTATTTTACAGATGGAGGACCAAGGTACCAAAAGGCTTGTTTAAGGTCATATAGGGCATCTGTGGCTTATGAGGGACATGAACCCAGGTCACTAAAAGCCTAGATGAATGCACTAGCTACCAGCCTAGCTCTCCTTTCAGAACAGTGCCATTGAAAATGGAATTGTAGAGAAAAAATATATAATTTGTTTCTTGCATGTAAACACTCAAACACTTAAGCAAACTAAAAGGCATTGAAAGTATATATAGCCATTTAAAAGTACATTGGAGCTCATATAAAATGTATACAGCGTTTACTGTTAATATGTTTAAGTATTTTGTCTACTACTTTACTTGAAATTAACACAAGGCTATTCAGAGCAGCAGCTGCGTTTTATAGTTTTCCATGGTAAAATGTTGAACTGTGTAAGATGGTGAGATGTAATAACAGTAGAGAAATAAAGATAATAGAGTGCAGTAAGATTTTGTTTGGAGTGCCCAGGTGCACATACAGATGCAATGGAATTTGGTTTGTGATGAACCTACAAAAATTACACAAATAACTAACATTTTTTTAAATGAATAATACACAGACATGCACCTGCTTCAGAGACTCCATAGATTAGTCTTGCAGCCAATAGAAAAGCCCCTTGGAATTCAATTACATGGCTGAAAAACAGAAAACAAATTTGTGGCTATATGTTAGAACTGATACCAGCACAACGTGAACTAGTTCTTAGGCTGATCTTCTCTTGAGGATTAAGCTGTTTCAGTTTGGCTGATTTTCATGTGTCTTATTGCAAATTAATAATATTCTGCTCATATTATTCTGTTCTATTCTTGCAGCTGGAGCCTCTCTCAGAAGATATGCAGCACCAAACCCCTAACATGAATGCAATGGCTTCTTTACAAAAGGCCACTGAAATTCAAAGTATGTCTCAGTATTTTTTCTCTTGTTATTAATTTGTATTGGAGACTACTGACTAAACTTTTGTTACAGAGTAGAGAATAAGCAAAAATATTATATCTGAGCGCATACATGATGCATGTTTATAAACATGTATGCCTGTGCTCTTGTTCCATTGGCACATATTTTGTTTCACTGGCAACTTAACTCTTAAAAAGCTGAGTATTCTCATTCCCACATAGTCCAAAATCATTTATTTACACAAATGTCTTGTAATCCAGTGAGAGAATGTGTGTGCATGTAAATATACGGGGAGAGGTATATTAGTGGTATGACATAGTCTCTTTGGATTCAATTTGTAAACAAATATCCTTTCAAGGTACAGGTTAGACTTCCCTTATCCAGCACCTCGGGACTTGACCCATCCCAAATGAGGAAATTTGTCGGATATGGGGAGATCCCTTGCTACTGGGCTTCAGCCTGCAGAGCTTGGACTTGGACTCCAGCCTGCTGTAGCTCCCCAAGACAGAGCTCCGCAGCCACCACGGCCCTGTTTCTCCCCCACCCAAGTAAGGATTCCCGCCTGGGATGGGTTTTGCCAACTGCCCCGCTTTTGCCACTCACCAGTCCCGCTACTGCTCTGCCTGGCCAGGGCTCCATGGGGACAGAGCTCCTTAGCCTCCATGGCCCCACTTCTCCCCCACCTGACTGGGGCTCCCCAGGAATGGGGTTCTCATTCCAGGGTACTAGGGCTCTCTGATTGAGCAAATCCGTGGTCCTGTTGGACCACGGATGTTGCCGGACCAGAAAATCCCAGATTTCGGAGGTTCAACCTCTAATCAGGTTGAGATGGATGTGTGTTTAAAACTACATCTGAATACGGTAAAAGCTGTGTAATCTGGCACTTTACCACTTAAAAAACTCTATAAACTGGCATTTTGATCTTCAATAAGGTCTAGTTGGTGTGGAACTGGCAGGCACCCTGCCTGGCTTCATGTGTCTCCCTGGAAGCAGATACATGTTCCTGCTGCTCCTAGGGGGAGGAATGGTCATAGGGGCTCCATGTGCTGCCCTGAGCACTGTCTCCTCAGCTCCCATTGTCAGGGAACTACAGCCAATGGGAGCAGAAGGGGTGGTGCCTTTGGGTGGAGGCAGTGTGCAGAGCTGCCTGACCACGTCTCTGCTTAGTAGTAGTAGACACATGTTGCTGCTTGTGGGGAGCTGGCCAGGGTGTGTGTTACCCATATCCAGCAGCCAGAAATCCCTCCCATGCTCCAAATCTCTGTCCTGAGGCCTCTCCTGCACCCAAATTCCATCCCAATGTTACATGGGGCAGTTAGTTCAGTGTGAAAAACTGGATGAAATTAAAAGAAGAAGAATATAGGCTGAATATCAGGGACAACTTCTGGAGGTGAAATGTATTAAACTGTAGAGTAATACCCAAAGGAAGTTGTGGAAACCCATCATATATAATATTTAAAATTAAGGCAAAATACTTACAAATCCTGCTTTGGCATTTGCATTACTTACACTTACGTTTCTGTCTCTGATGTCAAGTATATAAATGTTATAATCTCTGAGCAGTGCTGTAGTCCAAGGTTTGCCTTTATACCAACTCTCTTTCAAAAACAGGCTGGAAAGTGCAGATTTTAGGTCAAAGAGAAAACCCAACTTGTTTCTAAGCAGAGTGGAATTTGTATAAATTTCTTTGTTCGGGACAATGGTTTAATGTGTTTATGGAAATACGATACAATTGGAAATAGTATTTCTCCCTACCATAAATAAGTTGTTCTCACTCACTTAGGCACCACCCATGAGCCAAGCTTTTTGTACATGGAAAATGTCAGCCTATGCCACATACAACATGCCCTAGGAAGGGTATTTTCAAATGCCACAACAAAAATACATGATATAAACATTCAGTTACTATTTCTTTCATGAATGGGAAATGTTCCCATTGCCCTATTGGAGTCTTAAACACTTTTTCATGCATACCGAGATTACTTATTTGGTTTCATAGTTTATTTTTGGACGTAATGAAAGGTGTGCATATATGGGACCAGCAAACCACTTCTTTCTACTTCATAAACTCCAAAATGTTCTTATCAGGAAGTATAGCAAGATTATTGGAATTCCACGTTCCTGCATTGGAAAGTGAAAATGACCGTTTTGTCAGTTGTGAGCTGTTTGTCCCAGTGCTTTTGTTTCAAACAGAGCTGGATTTTTAACACATAGAGTAGTTTGTGCTGCTAACTGGATGCTGTCCCTAATGGGGATGCCTTCAAAATTGCACCAATTCCATCCCTCACATTGTGATATCTGTGTGCTATGCACACTACCTGAATGCTGCCACTGGCTTCCTGTCCCTGCTTTGCAATTTCCCTCCATCACTAAATCCCTCTCACAGTTTTAACTGAGTTTAGGGAAGGGGGTAATGAATGATCCAATGGGCAATCTGAGATCATGAGTTTCAGTGTTGGAAGAAAGTCAGGGGAAGGAGGCAGCTGCTTTGTGTGTATATGATGTAGCAGTCCTCTTTGATGATCTTTTATAGTTGCTGAAGGACAGCAGCACAGTAGTGGCTGGTTACTAATATTTTATTTTACGAATAGGAATTATTGAAAACTCCAGCAGCAAACTTGGGTACATTTTTATGGGCAAAACTATGTATTATTTTTATGCTAACAGATTTTATTTTCTTGAACATCTGTTTTTGCGACAAAAACCCCACCCACTTGTGAACGTTTAGTCCATAAATTATGGGGTGCATATTGCACAGTCTGATTTTGCATGAAACTGCTGTGAGAACATTGTGGAAGGCCTAAATAACTTTTTTTTTATTTTAATGACTAAAGAACGTGTTCTCTATAGAATATTTTTGTCTTGTTTTTATAGTATTTGCCAGGCCTCAACCATTTGATTTAGTGTTGTGCACACAGGTTTTTTTATCCATGACTTTCACATATCTGGAGGAAAATCCAGCTTGTATCACTTAATCTTAAATGTGTAGGATACTTAATACACTTTAAATTTTATTCCCCCTCCCAAAAAATACCTATTATATAAAGATCCTGCTAACTGTTTAAACATGCACAGTACTAGGGTTCAAAGGAATACCTATATGCTATGCTGCCTGTCAACCATGAAGATTGACTCATGCTTTCATCTGTTGAGTATCCTTTAAATAAGGTTATTGCTATCTTTATTGACAGCTGCTGTATCATTTGACTACACACTCATCTTTTGAAAAGCCTGAAATGGTGTTATATGCCATTTTACCAAAAAGGGAATTTTTAAGATTTAGACATCCAGAATACACGGCAATACAATTGACCTTTCCTGCCAGCTGTTGAAACCTTCCAGCTATCCCATGGCTAAGCACCTTGACCCAACCTACCTCTCAGCTGCCCAAATCTTCCTCTGAGCCTTGGAAAAGTTCCCCTATGTGAGTCCCCCTGTCACAGCTGTTGAAACCCTTCCACTAATTCCCAGATAAGTGCTCTGACCCAGCCACTGGCCCTCCTGCTTGAATCCTCTTGCTAAGCACTGGATTAATGCTGGTCCCAAACTCCCTTCCAGCTCCCTTCTATCTCCTAGTTTCCAGGTGGCATCCACCTAGAATTTAGTAAGAATTCTATGGATTATTATACTATGAGGGATACATATGTAAGATTTAAATTGTTCACCTGGCTACCACTAATGGACCCCAGTTCTTGACTAACATGTTACTGAGTGCTTATTTTTCATTCCTACTCACCTCCCATTATTTTTTTTTCTTTGCTTAGGAAGCTTTTCTAAGTCTTTTCTGTTGCAGGGAGAAGCCTGACAGCCCTTTCACACTTTTATTCTGCTGATGTCTTTTTACCCCTCCAAAAAAAAAACCCATAAAAAATGTCTGTCTTATAATACCTAGTACAATTCCAAGAAAAGCCAGTGCATATATGAACCTTTTAAATAAATTATTGTTCTAGTACACACCCTGAGGTTGGAGGAGAAAGAACATCCAGGACTAACAAACCTGATTGTTCTGGCAATATAACTGCAGGCCATGTTGGTATTTCTGACTCTTCCCCCAGCCCTCCCCCACCCCAGTAAGTCAGTGGTATGTGAGCACTTTGTACATTTACTTTCATTTTTCTATTCCCATTTGTCTCAAATGCACCTATTGCCTGGCAATATCAAGCCTATCTGCTCTGAATTTCCTTCTCATATCATAGATCTAGCCAGCAGTCTGACTGATAATATGAGTTCATTAGGTTGTGTGTTACTTCTTCAGTTTATTACCTTCTGGGGAAGGGTGTGACGCAGTCCTTGGAATGAGAGTGCTTTCCAACTTGGCATTCTTAGATCCAGAAACATACTTCATCGTGGCAGTTTGAAATCCCAACTACAACTGCTTACAGCACAGTGATTTTAAGTTAGAATCACTCTGTGTTGGACCTAAGTGATTACTGTGCTTATACCTCCATCTTAGCAAGAATTCCCATAAATTATTATGTGTGACTTTTTTTAAGGCAAGTACTGGAAGTCAGTGAAGCCGTATCCTGTGCCAGTGGGTTGTACTCTGGCTGAGGCCCAAAAAGAAGAGAGAGAGGAGACGGAGACTGTCTCTGCTATGGCCTCACTATCTGTGGATGTGGAACAGTCTTTTGCTCAGAAAGACAGCAGGTAAGCGTACGTTGTTGGAAAGGCAGATGGAAAGATTTTGTACCCTTGTGGTGTAAGAACCAGAACCCAGATTTTGAAAAGTGTCTAATATTTTCAGATGCCTTGGGTTTTGACTCCCCTACCTGAGACCATTATGAAAGTAACTTGAATTGGCTATCCAAACACCAGTCACCCTATATTAGTGAGCACTTTTGAAAAAGTGCATATAAATCTTTATTAAGATTTATTATTACTAAATGTACCCTTTTCCCCTCAAAATTACAAAGCAAAATATTGTGGAAAAAAATCCTGAATTGACAAAGCATAGTAGATCATGTTCTTCTTCTGAAAGGACCTTCAGGTCTATTTTAGATTTGATGTTATAAAAATCCATTTAGACTGCTTTCAGATCGACTTAGTGATGACAGACTAAAATTACCACCACGTACTCTGGTTTTATACTTTTGTCTGGAAATGGGTGACAGAAGAGGGATCATGAGGATTACCTGTTTGTTCCCTCCCTCTGGGGCACCTGGTACTGACCACTGTCGGCAGACAGATTACTGGGCTAGATGGACCTTTCGTCTGACGCACTATGTCCGCTCTTATGTTCCTTATGTTTGGGGATGTTAAATTTCATGTGATCAGCTAATCAAGTAGTTGATGAAACTTCCGTCGACTACTCGATTAGTTGATAAGGGGGGGAACTGCAGAGCTGCAGCAGGGTTAGCTCCCAGCCTTGGGAACTAACCCCACTGTGGCTCTGCCTTTTAAATGCCCCTAGGTGGCGCTTACTACATTTAGAAAGCAGAGGCACAGCATCTGGAACCAGGTGCAAGCTGGGAATCAGTTGATTCCCGGCTCGCGCCTGGGCCCCCACTGAGCTTCTGCCTCCTCTGCCTTCCTGCAGAGATTGTGCTGGGGGAAACTGGCTTTTAAGTTAGCTCCCCCCAGCACCGGCTCCTGCTCCTCCCCCTTGCTGCCCCTAACAAAGGCAGCAGGGGGGCGGGGGAGTGACTAGTCAAATAGTCACTCAGCTAGTCGCTTAAATCCCTATTTTATGCTAATGTAATTCCACTCATTTCAGTGTGTGACATTATTTAAAACAGGAGTAAGATGGTGGAGAATCTAATAAAGAGTGTGTTAGAGTTTCACACTGATCAAGTAAAACTGACTTGGACGTGAATTTAACAATTCTATAAAATGGAAGAGCAACTGCCAATGCACTTTGTCAATACTGCATTGCAAAATGAAGCACTGATACTTACTGAATAGTGCCATGTGCCATACAGTGTTTCTTTAAGGAATTGTTAGAGTGAAAAAAGTCTCTCTGTAAAAATTTCTTTATGGAGTTTCCTGTTTATTCTTCTTCAGCACCAAAATCTCCTGGCCTCACTATAGTGGAGAAAGAGCCAAAAATCAGTGGAACCTTATGATTCCACTGGACAAGAGAAAAAAAGGGCAAGAAATGGAGATACCTTATAAGGGGACTCCTCAGCTCCCTCCACATGAAGCTGCGCTCCATGACAGCTCCCTCCACAGAAGCATCGAGGGGAGGAGGGAGATGTGGGTGGGCCGACAGAGGAGTGGGAGTGTAGCCAAAGGATCCATGACTGATGTGAATATACTGGCAATTGCTGACTGTGGGCTGAGTGGTACAGTTCTAGTGCCTTCAAAGCCTGCACTGGTTGTTTTAATGTGAATACAGCTGACAATTTTACTGATGATGTACAAGGGGGATTACTTTAGAACCCAGTAGAATATTAAAGAATCTTCTATAGTATTATCAGCTCCTACAAGAGTAAAAACTTGGGTTTTTCAGTAAAGTAAGTGGCTGTGACTCAAAGACACAGCTCTAGTAAGTAGAGGATTCACTATAGCTGCACTTGAATAATAGATTATGATTATTGCTAGTAGTATTATTATTACAGATACATAAATGCTTGAGAAGAAACCATTTTTATCTCGTTTTCTCTCAGTCTCGGTCCATTGGTCCATAACAGTGATCTTATTTTTGATCCACAACATAGCCAATTAACCCTCAACAAAGAAATGAACCCACATGTTTATAATCTAAATGTGTGGTAATTAGTGCTTTTGTGTGTCAGCCAAGGATGTAAAAAGCTTTTCCACCTGTGAGTAAGGGGCTAATGTAAAGGAACAATAACGTAGGGTTTGGTAACTAATTAATATGATAAAATAAAGCCAAGCGTTAGGTTCTCTTAAATAAATTGTAATTAATTTTGCATACAGAATTACGTAGTTTAGACTAATCGGTAATTAAAAGTCTTGTTATACGCCCATACTAATCTAAAACTATAACCGGTACCCAATAATTGAGTCTGTAGTCACTTCAGCAAAGCAGCACTTCTGCTAACAGTGTATATTTCTAAAGCTATGTAAATATATCACCTAACTACTGATAACCTGTGGCAATTTCCACCCCTTCTTGACATGGAATTAATTTAGAGTGCAGCTGAAGGGAGTGGGAGAAAAACGGATGTACTGATAGGTATACAAATGGAATTTTATTTGGCCGCCAGTTTCACTACACTTCATCAGTTCTGGATGGTTACAGAAATGAATCTGTCATGAATTGTTCTGTGGAAAAATGGCTTCATTTGAAATATGGTTTGTGGCGTGGTAGAAGTTTTTCTGCAGCACAATAAAAACTTTGCATGTCTAGGTGCAGATTCTACTACTGCATTCATATCCTGGATGGCTGTCATCCAAATCCAGCCTTTTCATAAGTGAGAGGCAGGGGTAGGGTTGTCAACTTTCTAATCAAACAAAACAAAATGACCCTGTGCTGCTCTGCCCCTGCTCCAAGTCCCCATGCCCCACTCACTCCATCCCTCCTCCCTCCATCACTTGTGCTGTGGGGAGTGGCTCTGAGCAGGGGCATAGTATGAGAGGTTTGAACTGTGAGAGAGGGTTCTGGGCTGGGACAGGAAGTTGGAGTTTACGAGGGTATGAGTTATGGATTAGGGGTGTGGGCTCTAGGTGGGCCAAGCAATGAGGGGTTTAAGATGCAAGAGAAGGTTCCGGATTAGGACACAGGGTTTGGGGTGTGGGAGGATGAGGGCTCCGGGGATGGGGGTGGGGGAAACTCTGGAGTGGGACCGGGGCTGAGGGGTTTTGGGTTCAGAAGAGGGTTTTGGACTGGGGCTGAGGGTTTTAGAGTGGAGGGTGGGGTACAGGCTATGGTTGGGGGGTATGGGTTCTGGAATGAGACTGAGTATGAGAGATTTGGGGTGCATAGCCTACAACTTCTGTGCTGTGTGTCTAAGGAGAGGCACCCCACGCACTCAATCCTACTTCACTGAATCAAAGGTAAAGATGCTATTGAGTTTAGCTGTGAGGCCCCCAAATAAAGAGAGCAACAGCAAGAGATTCTCTTTGTAGGAAACTTTTGCCAGTTATGTTGGAGGATATATTGGTGTTTGGAGTGAGATGACTCATTTTAAACTCATATTTTGGGTAAAGCAGCTCTTTTTCTGGCCAACTCATATCTGACTCATTTACCACCGATGAATAAAGGATAAAATGCTCCTGGCTAAGAACCATTCTAAGTATCTTTTTTGTTGTTGTTTTTCTTTCTTTCCTCCTTTTTTTCTCTTTTTGGTAAATGACAACACAAAGTAGACAGTTGTTTCAATTTGATTGGTCCTGACATGCTGAATGAAACAGACTTTTTAGAAAGCTGTTTTTGTTCTTGGTGTGTTTTTGTTAAAATACTCCATACATTTTAATATACTTTCAAACTTAATTGTAGAATTCAGAAGACACTAGAAAAGGGAGAAGTGATTAATGCACAGGAAAGAAGAGAAAATATAAATAATGCAAAAACAAATTTAAATACAGAGACGAATAAATAGGGTTCTCCTATAAACATATTTAGCCAGAACACATTGTGTGTGTTGATAATACTTGTTAGCTAAATGAGATGCACATTTAACTGATTAGAACTTTGTAGTGGCCAGCAGTTCATTCAGAAATCTTTTGCTTTGAAAAAAATCAGTACACTGGTTTCCCTTTCTTTTTCTTTTCTTTTTCTTTTTTGAAAAAAAGGAGCAGGGACTATCTGGTACTTAACTGTTTTATAATAAGTCATAATAAATCTTAGGAATACCATTAAGAAAATTCATTTTCATGGCCCTGATTACCTGGCTATAACTTTTACCCAAGTAGAAAGGAGAAATGAAATGTAATGTTTAGATATGGGATTAAAATCCATTTTGGAAGATTCTGTGGCTCCTGAACTAATGATTGGGATTGTTATCATGTTATAATTTTTGTTGGAAATATTAAGGACCAGATCCTGAGATGCAGCTGTTTTCCAGAGAGCGCCAATCCTAGGGTAGGTGTATGTGCAAAGATGCATTATGCTGATCTTTGCACTCCTTTGACCCTAGTGGAGGACTAATCTGCTTGCATCGAATTAGAGCACCTTAATGGCTGATCTAATATGTGTCAGCTGCAAACAGCTCCAGTGAACTAAAACCACAGTCTAGGATTGGCATGACACAAGGTATTCTGGCCAAACCCTTTCCTTTGGCCGTGCCTCTCTTTTCTTGCTATTCCAGGGCAAGGATAAGATCCTTACACCAAAAATCATCTTTACACAGTATTGCTCCTTCATAACTGAACAAGGTTAGGGTCACATTCAACGGCACAAGTGGCACAAACACAGCCACCCTACACCAGAAACTCTGTCCCTGAGAGTGCATTCTACAGTGAAATCATAGAACTACTAACTGTGAAATAGAACCTATCATTTCAATAACTTCTCAGATGATAGGAGGATACCTATGTTGATGGCAATCTGTAAAAAAAAAAAAGGCTCCAGAGGTGATCCCAGCAATTATAGCCCTGTTAGTCTAACTTCAGTTCCAGGTAGATTCATTGAAATGATAGTTAAGAACAGAATTATCAGACACATAGATGAATACAATTTGTTGGGAAAGAATTAAGAAGGTTTTTGTAATGGGAAATCATGCCTCACTAGTCCACTAGAATTC